TGTTCCTGTTGCTCACCTCGCGCAGCTGAGGTCGCTCCTCCTCCGCTGTTTGGTGTCCTTGCCTTGGTCGTACCAGTTAATCACCTTAGGTGCGGGCCCTGCACTTCCAGACGCCACGGAGCCTGGCTTGTTGATGGGACAGCGTCTGCACCTCTCCCTCTATGCCCCCCACCAGAGGGATTACTGGGGAGGGGCGTCTGGGAGTGGCAGGGATCACTGTGGGGTCTGTGACAGCTGGGGAATGGTGCTGTGCGGCAGGCAGGGGTACAGGGTCCTCGCTGAGTAATGGAGTGTCTGGGGAGTGGGAGCCTTGCCTTTGTCTCCCGGGTGGGTGTGGGGCTGGGGGAGTCCCAGAGACTGGGGGGACTAGGTGCTGCTGGCCAGCGGGGGTGGGGTCTCAGGGTCTGCCTGGAGCCACCGGAGCCACCTGAGCCCCTGCCACTGCTCTGGGGTAGTTCCTTGCTGGTCCCTCTGGTGTCCCTCCTCTCCTTCCTCAGGCAGGAGGGCTGTGCTGGGCTGGGGCAGAGGCCTCCCCATGGAACTCCAGGCCTCTGCAGTCAGCACATCCGAGAGGAGCCTGGGTGTCGGCCGCCCTTCCCTCCCTGGTCCTTTTGATTCGGTGGAGCTGCTGTCTGTCTTCTCAGGCACAGACTTGGCATCATCTTTGAGGGCTCCCCTGCCTGGATTCCAGTCCCAGCTGTGCTATGGCGGGGCTTCCTTGCCTTTCTCTGCTGGCCCAGGCCTCTGCCTCAGTAGGGCTGTAACATGATTTTCAGAAATCAGCCCCAAGCTGACCCCTGACCCCTATGTTTATTGCCCCTGGTTTCTGCTCCTGACGGAGGTCATGAGGGCTGAGGTCAGCAAACCATTTCCAAAGCCCACGTGAAGCATTTGTTAGGCCCATGGAGAGCAGTCGTTGCTGGGGTGGGGAGGTGAAACTTCCCTCTTCCTCTGGCATCTCTGGCGGGTAATTTTCAGAAATCTCACATTTTCAGAAATTGTTCTTTCCAAGACGCGCGTTTCACTGCCTCCTGTCTGTGTTGACGTGGGTGTGTGCTCTAATGTTCAGGTGGTGCAGTGAGAGCCGTTGTGGTGAGGTGCCGGTAAGCATGGGCAGCCAGCCGGTGAGTAGGCAGGTTCACACCAGGGTCCTGGCACCCTGTAACCTCCTTGGGGCTCCCCGGAACAGCACCCCCAACCCAGTGTGCAGTCTGAAGTGGGGCCTGTGCCATTCCCACTTACACAAAGTGTCTGTTCCTCTCTGTTTAGTGTGGGTTTTGTTTCTGAATATATTTTCTCACATGACTTCTTCAAAAGTGACTTTTGAAGGACCATTTTCCCAGATGAAACTGGAAAAGTTCCCTTTCTGAACTGCTGTAGTGTTGGTGGGGAGAGATGGGCCCGGAGGTGCCCAGGAGCTGCCTTTTGCTGCCTGCCCACTCTTCCTGGGGCTAGGAGGGGCTGATATATGTTTGCAGCTTCTGGCCTTGGGCGGGCACTTGTACCACCAGCTGGTGCCATGCGCAGAGTCAGAGGCTCTTTGATGCCTCAGCATGTAGGTTACCAGCCGCTTTGCCAGGCATGCTTTGTAAAAACAGGAGAAGGGTCATTAAAAATATGGGAGGCCTCCGAGAGGTGGTCTTGACTCTCTCTGGGTTTTTTTATTTTTTATTTTTTGAGACAGAGTCTTGCTCTGTTGTACGGGCTGGAGTCCAATGGCCTGATCTTGGCTCACCGCAACCTCCACCTCACCCCCCCCACCGCCCACCCTGTGTTCAAGCGATTCTCCTGCCTCAGCCTCCTGAGTAGCTGGGATTACAGGCATGCACCACAACGCCCAGCTAAGTTTTGCATTTTAGTAAAGACAGGGTTTCATCATGTTGGCCAGGCTGGTCTTGAACTCCTGACCACATGATCTACCTGTCTCGGCCTCCCAAAGTGCTGGGATTACAGGTGTGAGTCACCGGCCCGGCCCTCTTTTCCTATTGTTAAAATGGCAACTCTAAATGAGCCGCAGAGTTGCATATTTATGTATAAATGTGTTTTCTAGATCTGCACAGATCACCAAGCCAGTGAAGATTAGTAACCGTGAAAAGCCACCCAAGAGAAAAGGCCAGGTAGGCATTTCAATAGTAAACTACATATTCACGCAATTCTGATGAGTCAGTTCACGGGCACTCACGCCTGGTGAATGCTTATTTTTGCAGATAGGAGAAAACAGTGAGTGAACTTAGGGTCTGATTTTCTTCTAAGATTTTATTGTGAAATAGCGGGCAGGTGGGGTGGCTCACACCTGTAATCCCAGCACTTTGGGAGGCCGAGGTGGGCGGATCACCTGAAGTCAGGAGTTTGAGACCATCCTGGCCAACATGGTGAAACCCATCTTTACTAAAAATACAAAATTAGCTGGGTGTTCTGGTGGGCACCTGTAATTCCAGCTGCTTGGGAGGCTGAGGCAGGAGCAGCGCTTGAACCAGAGAGGTGGAGATTGCCATGAGTTGAGATCATGCCACGGCACTCCGGCCTGGGTGACAGTGCAAGACTCTGTCTCAATAAAAATAAAAGTTAGCACTGTCCGGATCCGGGTCAGGGTGGATGCTGGCGGCATGGCCTGGTGTGGCCTGCGCCTGCTCTGGAGTTGGGAGCAGCCCCACACCGACCCCTGGCCGCTTTGCTCACTGCACTTGGTTTCTGCTCCTGACAGAGGCCACAGGGGCTGAGATCAAGAAGCTCAGTTCAAACATTTGTTAGGTCCACAGAGAGCTGTCAGTGCTGGGGTGGGAGGGGAATCTTCCCTCCTCCTCTGACGTCTCTGGGCAGGGGCTCGTGACCATGTGGCCCCTCTCATGATGGGTGCTCACTGCTCTGGGCAAGGTTCCAAGGCTGCACGGAGGTCCTGCAGATGGGATGAAGATGGCCCTCAGTCCATGTGCCTGGGGCCCTGGAACCCAGGAGAAGAGAGAGAAGGATGCAGCGCTTGCAGTTGGTGCCCAGCTGGAGAGGACCTGGTCCGTGAGCTCATGGACACTGGCCTGGGCAAGGGCTATGTGGAAAGGAAGCACAAACCAAGACAAAAGAAAGAAAATCCGAAGAGAAACGTGTGGGGAGACGCATGGAGGCCGTGTGAGCGGCGGGGGGCGGGGAATGGAGGGGCAGGCCTGAGGCCCTCAGCTGCGGGGAGCAGAAGACAGGGGCCAAGACGGGCCGGGGAGGAGCACACTCAGGCGGGCAGTGCGGATGGACAGAGCAGCCCCCACGGGAGAGGTGCGGCGGGTGGTGGGGATGGACAGGGCGGCCCCCACGGGAGAGGTGCGGAGCAGGGCCAGGAGCAGGTGCACAGCGGGGGCGTGGTGCTCACCCAGCACAGAGGACGAGGCTGGCCATGTTGAGGAGGAGGGAGAGTTACAGGGGAGATGAGCACAGAAGGAAGATAAGTAGGGAAAAGTGTGGGTGGGAAGACCAAGAAGGAGGTGACAGACAGGTAGTGGCAGCAAGGTGGGACAGGAGGCCTTGGTTCCCAGAAAAGAAAAGGAGGAAGACAAAGCTGGGGAGGAATGGACTCGAAAACCAAAGAAATGAAAATTAAAAGTGCAGGACCTGGAGGGAGACAGGAAAGCACGGTGTGGGAGTGAGCTGGGGGGCACCTCGGCCAGCCGGGGGCAGGGGGGCTTGCCATTGCCCTGAGAGGTGGGGGGACTGGTGAAAAACCCCAAGAAGAGAAAGCTGGGGTGGCCGGAAGCTGGCTGGAGGTAGAGACAAGTGGAAGGAGAAGCCAGTTGATGCTGGGGTGTCCAGAGGGAGAGAAGAAAAATGGCCAGAGGAGGAGAGAAGGCTCGAGGTGGCAGGAGTGAGTGGTACCAGCCCACCCAGCCCTTCTGTCCCTCATGTCCTGGCGGGGAGATGGGAATGCTGTGTAGACCAGCCCAGGCCCACCTCCCCTCTGTGTCCCCAGGGGAATGCTGTGTAGACCAGCCCAGGCCCGCCTCCCCTCCGTGTCCCCAGGGGGAATGCTGTGTAGACCAGCCCAGGTCCACCTCCCCTGTGTCCCCAGGGGAATGCTGTGTAGACCAGCCCAGGCCCGCCTCCCCTCCGTGTCCCCAGGGGAATGCTGTGTAGACCAGCCCAGGCCCGCCTCCCCTCCGTGTCCCCGGGGGAATGCTGTGTAGACCAGTGCTGGCCTGCCTGTCCTCTGTGTCCCCAGCGGGAATGCTGTGTAGACCAGTGCTGGCCTTTGCCTGCCAACTGTAGATTGCCAGGATCGTTGGCAGGTTTGGGCTGTGGGTCCCAGGGCACTGGGAGCAGCTGCAGTGAGGTGTTTGCTGTGTGTCTGGCACTGCTTTTGGTCAGTCCTCTGTGACACAGGTACTGCTGTGTCCATTTTTCAGATGAGGAAACTGAGGTACAGAAAGGTTAAGAAACTGGCCCTAGATCACATGGCCATGAGTGGGCCACACTGCAGTTGCAGCCGTCACCCCGCTCTGTCCTGTACGCAGGCATGAGCGGCGCACTCCCGGTGGAGATGGCTGGGCTATGACCCACACCTGCTGTGAGATGACGTGTGCTATCTCAGCATCTTAGTGCAGGACTCTGGCGGGTGCTTTTCTCTGGAGACTCGTGTTTCCTGGTTCTGGGGGAAATCATTTCTCTAACAATTTCATTCCCACCATTTGTCCCGACCTCGTTTTTCACCCCTTGGAATTCCTGTTGGTCTTAACCTTTCGAGCCCATCACCCACCTTCTTTGCCTTTTCATTCTTTCAGAAAGATTTCCCCGCTTTCAGCCTTCTTGTTAATGTTGCCTGTCACGTTTCCATTTCCAATACATCATTTTTTTTTCCTTTTTTGAGGTGGAGTCTCACTGAGTGACCCCCAGGCTGGAGTCCAGTGGTGTGATCGTGGCTCACTGCAACCTCCGCCTCCCGGATTCAACTGATTCTCGTGCCTCAGCCTCCCAAGTAGCTGGTATTACAGGTGCATGCCAGGTAATGCAGGTAATTTTTGTATTATTACTAGAGATGGAGTTTCACCACCTTGACCAGGCTGGTCTGGAACTCCTGACCTCAAGTGATCTGGCTCTCGGCTTCCCACAGTGCTGGGATTACAGGCGTGAGCCACCACACCCGGCCCTGACATTTACCTGTTAACTGACAATTCCATACAGCTTACTGTGATTAGGGAAATACTTAGATTTGTTTCCACCATTAATTTGCTCAGTTTTGTGTCTGATTTTTTTGAGAGGGGGTCTCACTCTGTTGCCCAGGCTGGAGTGTAGCGGCGTGAATGCCTACAGCTCACTGCAGTTTTGACCTCCCAGGCTCAGATGATCCTCCCACCTCAGCCTCCCTAGTGGCTGGAACTACAGGCATGCTCCACCATGCCCGCCTTATTTTTTTGTAGAGATGGGGCCCTATGTTGCCCAGGCTGGTTTCAAACTCCTGGGCTTAAGCCATCCACCCACCTTGGCCTCCCAAAATGCTAGGATTACAGGCGTGAGCCACTGCGCTAAGGCCCAGCCTGATTTCTTATTTTTTAATTGACAGGAGTTTCTGCTCATTTATTTATTTATTTTATGGGGTCTCACTGTGGTCCAGGCTGGAGTACAGTGCCCAATCATAGCTCACTGTTGCCTCAAACTCCCGGTCTGAGGATCCAAACTCAGATCCTCCTGCCTCAGTCTCCCAAGCAGCTGGGACTACATTTGAAATTACAGCGTGTTTTTTTTGTTATTCGATTGGAGATGTATAGACTGGTTACACTCTTTTAGTAATTAACATTAAATTACAGTATGCACATTTAACTATCTTACATCCTCTTCCCAACAACAGGAGGGTCTTAGAACATTTCCATCCCTTCTAATTTACACGCTCCTGCTGTCCGGCATTTTAGCTGACGTCACTCTTACGTGCATATTCATATTTGTAATTCTGTTTGCCACTGCATCTTACATCTACGACCATCACTCAGATCATTTTCCTTTTTTTATTGAGATGGAGTTTTGCTCTTTTTGCCCAGGCTGGAGTGCAATTGCATGATCTAGGCTCACTGCAACCTCTGCCTCCCCAGTTCAAGGGATTCTCCTGCCTCAGCCTCCTGAGCAGCTGGGATTACAGGTGTGCACCACCACACCCAGTTAATTTTTTATTTTTAGTAGGCACAGGATTTCACCGTGTTGGCCAGGCTAGTCTCGAACTCCTGACCTCAGGTGATCCATCTGCCTCAGCCTCCCACAGGGATTACAGACGTGAGCCACCGCACCCAGCCCTATGTTGCCTAGGCTGGTCTTGAACTCCTGGGTTCAAGTGATCCTTCCTCCTAGGCCTCCAAAAGTGTCCCAAAAGTTCTTTAAGAAGGCCTGCCTATTTGTGCGTGGTAGTATGTATCCTACAGCTTTCTCATCACTGCGACTGTGTGACTCCTCTAAACACCTCCTACATACCTGTCCTCTCACCTGGATGGGGAGTTTCGGGATCTGAGTTCTGGCCGACACCAGCTGCCCTCAGTCAGCCGACTCCCCTTGTTTGCTTGGAGATCTTTGACTGCAAGCTGAATGCCTGATTTATGAGCAGGGCTGAGGCTCAGAAGGGCAAGTTCCTTCAGGGGACAGGTGCTTTGACCTCTGCGGGCACCTGGAAGGTCACCTTCAGCTGACCCGAGGGTCCTGGCTCAGCATGGGAGACAGGCTCATCTTCCCACCTCACCACTGGCCCAGGAGTCGGGGGTTAGTTAACTGTGGGGCCGCCAAATCTGCCCCTACAGGCTTCACAACCCTAAGTTAATGCATTTTAACAAAATCAGTGCCTGTAAGAGCCATGAAAGCAATGCGGCTGTCTTGGAAATGGCAGCGACAGGCCCAGAATTCTTCCCAGTCAAGCCTTACCTGGAGCAGAGAACTGCAGGAGGCAGTTCCAAGCCACAGCCAGACCGGGGCAGTCAGGAAGGGGGTGCCCAGAGAGGGCGTGGAAGTCTTCCGCCCTCCCCTGTGCCTTGTGGGGGAATCTCTGTAGTCGTGCCCCAGGACCCTTGGCCAGTGGGTGGCTCACATTTCCCTCAGTCATCCCAAGAAACTCAAAACCACTGTAAGGCCGGATGCCTCATCAGGAGCCCGGACAGCCACCCAGCTCTGCACCCAGTACCCAGCTCTGCACCCAGCCTTCCAGTTGGGAATTCCGGTTGATGCAACCCTAACCATATCTTGCACCAAAAAACCCGCCCGACAACCTGCCAATCAATAACGGCCCAATCCCGCTCCCCCAGAGCCAATCAGAGCACCCAGCTCTTGTTCATTCCTCATAGCCGCAAAAACCCCACGCCCCAGGAAGTCAGTGTGACTTCTCTGTCCCCCTTTCTCTGGACCATACAACCTTGCCCAGGAGCTGAATAAACTGGCATTTAATTTTCTTATACTGGCTTCAGTTTCTTCATTTTAAACTTGGCAGTAACCCTTACAAGTGGTGCTGAAACCTGGGAGCAGTTCAAGACCCCTCCTGGGGAAACTGACTCCTGCACCCTAAGCTGAACCAGGGAGCCGCCACCCCTCCAATTGTCTGCAGCCATCACTCGGTAAGACTCCTATTGCCCGTAACCCCATCCTCTGTTTGCCCTGAACCTTGGGGTACCCTGTCCGTAATTGTGGCCGCATCAGGGACTCCCATCTTGAGCTGTGGGCCTCGCAGAGATGTCCTGCTGCCCTCGTTCGCCTGCCCCAGAAGACAGGAATATTGTAGAGACGTCCCTAATACTCCTGTCCTTCCCTGTAATCTCCTGTACTCAGGTGTTGAGGTCCGGGACAATCAGGAGTCCCACCTAGACCCCAAGTCACCACTGGGATGTCTAGTCCAGAATTTACCCAAGCTGGGCCGCTTCATTAAAAAAAAAAAAAGGCTGCTTTTCCTCTCCACTGTGGCCTGACCCCAGTATCCTCTGGACAACCAGTCCAGTGGCAACCAGAGGGAACTTTCAATCTTGGCATTCTGATTTAGACGATTTCTGTCAAAGAAATGGTAAATGGTTGGAGGTCCCCTACATTCTGGTATCTTCGCTCCCGTCCCACCCTCTGTTCCTCTTGCACCACCGCTCAGGTGCTCCTGGCCAAAGAAACTCCCTCACCGCCCTCGGCCCCTCCATCATCCTCCTCTTCTGACCCCGACCCACCCAAAGAACTCCTTTCCACCCGCCCGACCCACAAATCCTCCGCCATATGTGGAACCTCAACCCCCTCCAGCTCCTCCTCTTCCTGCTCCCAACTTAGCCTCTCCTGTCGGTGCTCACACCTGCTCGCGCTGTGCGCATAATGATGAAACCTCCTTCCTTTACCCGCTTCGCGAGGTCACCGGAGCAGAAGGCATTCGTGTACATGTTCCCTTCTCCCTCTCTGATCTAACAGCCATTGAGAAACGCCTAGGGTCATCTTCCACCAAGCCTACTGCTTACACCAAAGAATTCCGCTACCTCACCCAGGCTTACCACCTCACCTGCCATGGTACCTGTGTGATTCTGTCCTCCACCCTCACCCCAGACGAGTGAGACCGCATCCTTATGGCGGCCCGGGCACACGCTGATCAGGTACATCTCACAATCAGATGCCAGTAGGTGGGGCAGCGGTCCCCAAGGTCGACCCTAATTGGAATTATCAAACTGGTCAGGATGGCCACCGCTGCTGAGACCAAATGCTACCGTGCCTCGCAGGCATGCAAAGCACAGCCCAAAAGGTAGTTAATTATGATAAGTTGAGGGAAATAACTCAGGGTCCCGATGACAACCCAGCTGCCTTCCTTGACCAATTAACTAATGCTATGATCCTCTATACCCGGCTAGATCCAGCCTCCATAGCAGGGGGCTACAGTCCTAGCCACCCATTTCATCTCTCAGTCAGCGGCTGACATTAGAAAGAAACTTAAAAAGGCTGAGGAGGGCCCCCAAACTCCCATACGAGACCTGGTAAACATGGCATTTAAAGTTTTTAATGGCCGAGAGGAAAAGGCTGAGGCCACCCTCCAGGCCTGTCTACAGCAAAAGGTAAGCCTCCAAACCCAAGCTCTTGTGGCAGCCCTGAAGCCGGCAGCCCACCAGGCGCCTGGTGGAGGGGGTCCATCAAAACCTGTCAAGAACTCCGGAGGCATTCCGCCTGGGCCCTGTTTCAAGTGCGGTCAGGAGGGACACTGGGCACGTCAGTGTCCATGTCCCTGACTACCTACCAAGCCCTGCCCAGACTGCAAGCGGCTGGGACACTGGAGCAGTGATTGACCGTCCCGGACTACAGGCCCACCCCCCACACCTCTATGTGGAGGGCAGGCTGGTCCGTAGGAAGCAATCCCATTGCTTGAACTTCTCAGCCTTCTGGACAACTGACGCAGCCCGGACTTGAAGACACCCATCACCCTTGCTGAGCCCAGGGTAGCGCTGCAGGTAGCGGGTAAGTCCATTTCCTTCTCAGTGGACACGGGGCTACCTATTCTGTGTTGCCTTCCTACTCAGGACCTAGCACACCTTCCCAGGTTTCAGTCATGGGAACTGATGGCAAGCCTTCCTGTCCTAATCAAACCCATCCTTTAGCCTGTGTCCTCAAGGGACACCCCTTTTCCCACTCTTTTTTAATCAGACCCTCGCGCCCTGTCTCCCTTTTAGGATGAGACATTCTCCAGACTGTGGGGGCCACTCTCCAACTCACTGGCCCCCCACACTCAAGCCCATCATCTGCTCACCTCCTACTGCCACTCCTAACCGATGCCACGCCCTGTCTTAACTCCTCGCCCCAGCCCCCTATCCCTCCTGACGTAGTTAATCCTCTGGTATGGGATACCTCCAAGCCTCTAGTGGCCAAACATCATACCCCGGTTAAGATACGTCTCAAAGATCCTACCCACTTTCCTTCACGTCCTCAGCTCCCCATCTCGAAGGCCCACCGTCAAGGCCTGGAGCCTATCCTCACCCGCCTGCTAGCCCAGGAACTACTTATTCCCACCAGTTCCCCTTGTAACACTCCGATCTTGCCGGTCCGAAAGCCGTCTGGCGGCTACCGCCTGGTTCAGGACCTGTGCCTTATTAACGAGGCAGTGGTACCCCTCCACCCTGTAGTCCCCAACCCACACACCCTATTATCAAACATTCCCTCCACTACCTCTCATTTTACAGTTCTCGACCTCGAGGACGCCTTCTTTACCATTCCCCTCCACCGAGTCCTGCTTTCTCTTTGCCTTCACCTGGACTGATCCTGACCAACCTGTCACAACAGCTCACCTGGACGGTCCTGCGTCAGGGGTTTCGAGACAACCCCCACATTTTTGGACAAGCCTTGGCAGCCGACCTTCGCTCCTGCCCCCTTCAACCCAGTCTCCTCCTCCAGCACGTGGATGACCTGTCACTTTGTAGCCCCTCCCTCTCCCTCTCCCAGCAGCATGCTGCCACTCTCCTTAACTTTCTCCGATCTCAGGATACCGAGTATCTCCCTCCAAAGCACAGTTATCAGTCACCTCGGTGGTCTACTTGGGCATTTGCCTCACCCCCAAAACTAAAAGCCTAACGACAGATCGCCAGAAAGCACTTCTTTCACTGCAGCCCCAGGAGACTGACCAGATTCTCTTCTTTTTAGGATTTGTAGAATTTTTCAGCCACTGGGTACCTAACTTTTCCTCTCTAGCTAAACCTCTGTATGTGGAAGCTAAGGACACCCCCACGGGACCTCTCTCCCATGCTGAGGTTGTAAAATGGGCTTTTAAAACCCTCCGAACTGCTCTGTCCACTGCACCCCCACTTCATCTGCCAGACCTCAATCGCCCCTTTTGTCTGTTCACTGATGAGAAACAGGGCGTTGCTGTCGGGGTTCTAACCCAACCCCTTGGTCTTGTGTTCCACTCTGTAGCCTCCTTATCGAAGCAACTTGACCCCACGGTCAGGGGTGGCAGCCTTGCCTGCGGGCCCTGGGAGCAGCAACGGAACTTACCAAGGAATCCCTAAAACTGGCCCTGGGCCAGCCCATCTCAGTGTTCTCTCCTCACGGGCTTACCGACCTCCTCTCCCACAAATCTCTCCCTCACCTAGGGCCCTCTCATCTGCAGGAGTTCCACCTGCTCTTCATTGCAAATCCCTCAGTCAGCCTTCACCCCACTTCCCCACTCAACCCTGCTACTTTGCTTCCTCTCCCATCCCTTCCCCCTTCCCTAGTTCACTCCTGCCCTGAACTAATGGATGCACCTGCCAAACCTCGGGAGGGCCTATCCGACCTTCCCCTGCCTAACCCAGACCTTACCTTCTATGTGGATGGAAGTTCAGTAACAACAGCCGACGGGAGGTGAAAGGCAGCCTGTGTGGTACTCACAGATTCAGCCACCCTCGAAGCACGTCGTCTCCCTGATGAAACCACATCATAAAAGGTGGAGCTCATTGCCCTAACCCGAGCTCTCACACTAGCACAGGGAAAGCGAGCAAATATCTATATTGACTCAAAATATGCCTTTCTTATTACCCATTGCCACTCTGCCCTCTGGAGAGAGAGGGGATTCCTTACCCCAAAACAGTCCCCCATAATCAATGCTACACAGATCTCCAACCTTTCCCAGGCCTTATCACTGCCCAGGGAGGTTGCAATCATACACTGCCGAGGACACCGGGCCCAGCATGATGCCGTCTCCCGGGGCAATGCGTGGGCAGACACAGCAGCAAGATCTTTAAGGCCAAGTTGACCCCCTACCCCGTTCTCTTCCTTACCACGGCCACACAGCCTGTATACTCACCATCAGAAAAACAGGACCTCATACTGAAAGGGGGAACAGAATCTAATCGGGGCTGGATCTTCCTAAATAATAGAATCGCCCTTCCCGGGAACAGGCCCCTAAAATTACTGCTGAAATCCACCAATCCTTACATATGGGGCCTAAGACGTTATACCGCTTTGTATAGCCCCTCCTTTTCTCACCAGGTCTGCAACAAACAACTGGGCAGGTACACAAGGCATGTGTTACTTGCTCTAAGGTCTCGCCTCAGGGAGGCTTAAGGCCACAGTTTCCTACCCACCAAATGTGGGGCAACCTACCGGCCCAAGACTGGCAAATTGACTTCACTCATATGCCCACTCACAAAAAGCTCAGCTACCTCCTAACTTTCGTAGATACCTTTTCAGGTTGGATTGAAGCCTTCCCCACCTCCCGGGAGACAGCAGACACGGTGGCCTCCCTCCTTACTCAAGAAATCATCCCTTGCTTCGGCCTACCTGCCACCATCCAGTCGGACAATGGTCCAGCACTTACGGCCCAAGTAGTCCAGCTAGTTGCCAAGTCCCTCAGCATCTCCTGGAAACTACACATCCCTTAACATCCTCAGTCGTCAGGTAAAGTTGAACGGGCCCACAGCATCCTCAAAGACCATCTGGCCAAACTTGCTATTGAGGTAAAACTCTCTTGGCCCACACTCCTACCTCTTGCCCTGGCCTGGGTCCAGGCCACCCCACAGGGGCCAATGGGCCTGAGCCCCTCTGAATTGCTGTACGGCCGGCCTTTCCTGGTTTCCCATAATCTCCCTGTAAAACCGCCCCCACTGGCTTCCTACCTTCCCTTCCTCTCCTCCGCCACCTGCTTAGGGAGCACGCGGACCACACCCTCCCTGTTCCAGGACCGGAGGACCCCCACCCAGCAACACGTCTCCAACCAGGTGACAGCGTTCTCCTCTGAAAGCTCAAACCAGCATCTTTGCAGCCCAGGTGGTCGGGACCTCACATTGTTATCCTAACCACCCCCACAGCGGCCAAACTCCTGGGTCACACTCTGTGGTACCATGTGTCCCACCTCAAGCTGGCCCCCCAAAATGACCAGTGGAAATCCGAACCCCTGGGCCCCACTCACCTCCACCTCACCGTGGCCCCAACCCATCGCCCCCTAACCCTTCAGAGCCTCCTCCTGACAGTCCTGATTCTCCTCTTGAGGCCAACTCATATGTTTGGCGCTTCTACATCCAGGAATCCTGGGCTGAGGTTCCCACCACCAGGACTCACTACATTGCCCAAGCAGACTGCCAACCCACTGGCTGCCAGTCAGAAGTAACAACTGAGATCCAAAAAACAAAAACCAAAACTCTACAAATCGGGTTCTCTGCTCATGGCCTGTGCTTTCTCTATGACCAATACTATGACTATTCCATTGGTGGAACACCACCGCCCATGTAATTCTTGTCATTCATGTAGCACAGGAAGTTGCCCACATCTAGGATCCTTGGGTAAAACAGCATGTCTTCACCTCCGACATGTGAGGTAAGTTATTTCTTACCATCCGTGACCTGTGGGACAACCACTGGGTAAAAGGGGTTAATGGAAAAGTCTACAATTGGTGGCAAAACAGCCACCCCCAGGGAACATGGCTGATATTCCAGTCCTGTACCTGCACTGTCCCTGAGATAATAGAACAGCTCAGCTCTGTGAGCCATACAATCCTGCAAAGTGAAGTCACCGTAACTAACCAATTCAAACCCTCAGAAAGCACCTCTCGACCTTCCTCTCAACCTTCCTGGCTGACTCTAGTACAGCAGGGAGCCAACATGTTAAATTTAACCAAAGCATGAGTATCACCAGCTGCTTTTTATGTGTCTCAGCAACCCCCCCTTGGCTGCAGTTCCCCTCAGATCCGGGTTCAATCTGTCACAATCACCTACAGGACCCGGCACCAACTTAACGTATCACCTTGTTCCAAGTACACCCTCAAAATTTCTCTCTCTGCCATGAGACAGCCAGCAGCTCCAGGCCCAGATTTAACACCACAGTAAAGGTAAAGTCCTCCCTCTACGTGCCACCAGGAGGATATTTCTGGTGTAATGGAACCTTAACTAAAGTTATTAATGCCTCCTTCCCTTTCCCTTGTGTGCCTGTCACCTTGGTCCCACAGTTAGAGGTATATGGACAGGCCAAACTTCTATCCCTCCTTCCACCCTCTCCTAATCACCGAGACAGATGAGCAGTCTTCCTCCCAATGGTCATTGGTCTGTCTCTAGCATCCTCTCTGGTGGTGGCCGGGCTGGGTAGCGGCGCCCTGGGCTACAGGGTCGCCTCAGCCACTCAACTAGAAGACAAGCTTTGCATGGCTATTGAAGTGTTGGCTGCCTCCCTGGCTTCCCTCCAGCGACAAATCACGTCACTGGCCCAGATAACTCTCCAGAACCGACGGGCCCTTGACCTGCTGACAGCAGAAAAGGGAGGTACCTGTCTGTTTCTTCAGGAGCAGTGCTGCTATTACATCAGAAAATGTCAACATTCTCTATGGCCTCCAAAAAGACCTCCGCAAGAAGCAGAATGCATCAGTCTCGCCTCTCAACTGCTGGCAATCCCCCGTGCTTACCTGGCTAACCCCTATTATCACTCCCAACATCGGTTTGCCTTCTGTTAATGCTAGCCCCTTTTTTCCTCACGTTTTTACAGGTCCGCATAAGGGAAATTTCCAGGGTAGCCGTAAACCAGATGCTACTTCCCCCCATGTCTGACTCCCAACCGAGGCACCAGCCAACTGACCCTTCTCCACAACTCCGCCCCTAATCAGCAGGAAGTAGCCTCATCAGGAGGCTGGAAAGCCATCCAGCTCTGCACTCAGCACCCAGCTCTGCACCCAGCCCTCCAGTCGGGAATTCTGGCTGATGCAACCCTAACCAAATCTTGCACCAAAAAACCCGACAACGTGCCAACCAATAGCGGCCCAATCCTGCTCTCCCAGAGCCAATCAGAGCACCCAGCTGTTGCTCGTTACTCACAGCCACAAAAACCCCACACCCCAGGAAGTCAGTGCAACTTCTCTGGCCCCCTTTCCCTGGACCATAGAACCTTGCCCGGGAGCTGAATAAACTGGCATCTTTATACTGGCCTCAGCTTCTTCATTTTAAACTCAGCAATAACCTTTACAACCACCACCTTGCTTAATTCATGAAGGCTGAGCTTTACTATATGCCCTCAAAAATGTTCCCCAAAGGGACACTTTTCTATCTAGGAAATGACGTTTTAAAAAATCAAAACTCCCATGGCCTGTCCTAGGAGGCGCGGGGAGATGACTAATCAAGCATGGCGGGCATTGGATACCATCTTGAAAAGGGAAAAAAAGTCCCTCCCCGGCTGCAGCGGTGCGGAGGCCGTCTCCCTGGTCCGCTGCGGTCCCTGCCCCTCCCGCCGCCAGCTGCCCCGCGGGCGGCAATGACTTCCAGTGGTGCTTCTTGCAGGGGGCCATCGACTAGGACGTGGCCAAAGAGAATACTCCAGGTTACACAAGTGGACGTAATGAGAAATCAAACTACCTTCACTGAATTGAAACATCCTTCCAGCATTCACTTAATCGAACAGCTTGGTGGACTGGAAGGGTCTCTCCAAGAAACAGACCTGCATCTCAGCACTGCCTTTTCTACAGGCACTGTTTTTTCTGGCAGCTTCTTGGATTCCCTCCTGGCGACGGCCTTCTACAATTATCATGTCCTGGAATTGCTTCAGATGCTGGTGACAGGAGGAATAAGTCCTCGGCTGGAATAACATTTAGACAAGGATAAGGTCTATGATGCGTCAGATAGCTGCACGGTGCTCGTCTGGAAGCAAGCGGTGTAAGCTGGGGCTTCTGTCATTACACCAAACCATTTTATCAAACGTTCAACCAAGAGATGCCTTTGGACAACGGGTCTGTGGCTCATTACATATTTTTGGAATCCCGTGTGTTGGCTTATACCGAAAAATGGATGAAGAGGACCTCAACCCGGAAAACAAGAGTGTTGTAGATTGGAAAGCACCGTCCACCCATCCAAGGATAAGAACCAAGGCTACTTCATCCAATGTGAAAGAGAATTCCAGAGCTCAGGTCCACAGTGGCACGGGAGGGTGCATGGGAAATAAAGAACCATGTAAGAATAAGGAGGGATGGGTACAGACAAGAGGGACCTGAGTAATTAGGGTCCAATTAATATTGGCCATGTAAGGAGAACGGAGTTTCTGTCCCCCAATGAAAACTGAAATGTGAAGCTAGATTATAAATCAACTCCACCTTTGAATTTTGTAACTTACTCTTATCCGTGTCTGTATAGCTTTCTAAAGCTGAACGCCACTAGGCACATTAGAAGGAAAGCCTCAGACAAGGAGGTTTATGATGAGGACTTCTTTGCATATTCAGAGCCACACTAGACCTGCCCATATTCTTCATGTGCTCTGCACTTGCTCCTTACAAATCATCTCCCGAGACGGTAACTCTGAACAAGGAAAATAAAAACGGAAGCATGCCATTTCTGTGCCCATTGCTTAACGGTTCATGAAGACCACAGTTCCAAAGGAGACAAAAGTCTAATCCTGCTGGATCTTGTGTGATAAATAAATATATGATTAAAAAAATCAAAACTCTTTTACAGGAAATAATATTTGTACATACCCATAACACTCTCAAAGAGAAAACGATTCTTCTACCCACAAACTGCTCCTGACATCACGTGTGAGAGCCTTTCCCCCCACACCAAGCAGCTCTCCAACTCTGACAGCAGCGCAATGTCCTACAACGTAACTCGAGTCTGAAACGGATTGCCGGTCGTTTAGTACAGACCCACAGGGTAAGGGGTCAGTCCCACAAGATCAGCCTACTTCAGAGGCCAAGTGCAGACGGTGGGCCCCAGGGTCCCCACGTCCCCCTTCTCAGGTTCCATACTTTTTTTCTTCTTGAGACAGAATCTTGCTCTGTGCCAGGCTGGAGTGCAGTGGTGCAATCTCGGCTCACTGCAACCTCTGCCTCCCGGGTTCAAACGATTCTCCTGCCTCAGCCTCCTGAATAGCTGGGACTACAGGTGCATGCCCGGCTCATTTTTGTATTTTTAGTAGAGAACGGGTTTCACCATGTTGGCCAGGCTGGTTTCGATCTCTCGACCTCATGATCCACCACCTCGGTCTCCCAAAGTGCTGGGATTACAGGCGGGAGCCACCGCGCTGGGCCAGGTTCCATACTTTTCTAAGCACACATAGCTCGGGACCATATGGACCAGCTGACTGTGAAAAGGCGTTAAAAGACGTGAATGAACCGCTCATGGGCAAAGTACAGGGGAGGGCACAAGGCATCCACGCCCTCCCTGGGCTCTCCACTTCCTAACCAACCCCCACCTTCACCTACCCAAAGCTCGAGCCCCATGCAGGGTTTTGCTGGAGGCCTGGCTGTAGGAATGACCAATTCAATCACCGGCCAGTGCCCCCCGCAGGAAATGAGACAGTCGCTGCAGCTTGACCGTGGGAGGGGAGGCGTCTCAGCAGCGCGTGGCAGGCCCGGCACAGACCCCCGGGGCCTGCCCTGTCGCTGGGAAGCGCCTCCTGCAGGCAGCGCTCCCCTTCCCTGAGCCAAGGTGGATGCAGCCCCGGCGAGGGCGAGGCTTTCGCAGCCTGAGAGGCAGGTGGGCAGCCGGCTCTGCCCCTCCCTCACTGCGTACCCCGGCTCACTCAGCGCCGTGCACCCGCCGGTGCTGGATGAGGTGGAAGCTCAGGCGGAAGGCGCGGCCGCACTCAGTGCAGCGGAACGGCTTCTCACCCGTGTGGAGCCGCTGGTGCCGGAAGAAGCCCGACAGTGCCCGGAACGCGCGCCCGCAGTGGCCACACTCGTGGGGCTTCTCGCCGGTGTGGATGCGGCGGTGCTCGCGCAGGAAGGAGCTGCGGCTGAAGGCGCGGCCGCAGTCCTGGCAGGCGAAGGGCCGCTCGCCCGTGTGCACGCGCTGGTGCTGGAGGAGGTTGGAGCTCTGGCTAAAGGCCTGGCCGCACTCGCGGCACTCGTACGGGTTCTCCCCGTGGTGGGTCCGCCGGTGCCGCACCACGTTGGAGCTGTGCAGGAACCGCTTCCCGCACTCGCCGCACGCGTACAGCCTCTCTCCGGTGTGGGTGCGGCGGTGCTTGGCGGCGTCCGACCTCTGGCCGAAGGCCTTGCCGCAGTCCTGGCAGGCGTAGGGCTTCTCGCCCGTGTGCACGCGCTGGTGGCGGAGCAGGTTGAAGCTCTGGCTGAAGGCCTTGCCGCACTCGCCGCACGCGTAGGGCCTCTCCCCGCTGTGCGCGCGCTGGTGGCGCACCACGTGCGAGCTGTGGATGAAGGCCTTGCCGCAGTCACTGCACTCGTACGGCTTCTCCCCCGAGTGGATGCTGCGGTGCTTCGCTGCATCAGAGGGACACTTGAAGCTGAGGCCACAGGCGCTGCACGGGAAAGGCCGCCCCTTCCAGCCACGCCTTCCCCTTGCCCCGGGGCCTGCAATCGGAGGAACGTCTGACTCGCAGCCACTCTGCCCTCCAGTTTTCTCAGAAATGACCGCGCCTCCAGGGGAACCTCTGGGCCTCTCTCCAGCTTCCTCATTTTCACAAAGGCCAAGAGACCCCAGCGCCCAGGGAGGTCCCCCTCTGTGGCCCTCTCCCTTGGGAGCACCTGGCTGTGGTACAGGCCCTGTGCTCCGAGCTGCCTGCTCCTCTGCTGACCAGCTGCCACTCGGGGCCTGCGCCAGGAAAGCGGCCTTCACAGCTGAAAAAGAGGCCAGACAGGAGGAATGAGTTTAGCTGTAAGAGAATGTGAGTCCAGGCTGGCCCTGGCAGTCGTGGTGATGTTAGCTTGCCACAGACACTTGATTCTGCCCATTCATCTCCCACCTAGTTTCTCCTCCCTATCTTCTTAACCCCTGTAGTTACCGGGCAGACGAGAGTCCCGCACTGCCACTCCAGAAACGGCTGTGCGCCTGGGTGGTGGCTCCTACCTGTAATCCCTGCACTTTGGGAGGCTGAGGCAGGAGGACCACTTGAGACTGGGAGTTCAAGACCAGCCTGGCCAACGCAGTAAAATCCTGTCTCTTAAAAGAAACTGAATTTTAAAAATATACAAACAGAAACGCGCTAAACTTTTAGCCTCGGCCCACCCAGTCCTGGGAGGAGAGGTGACAGAAACGCAGGCTCTGGGCACTTACTCTGCAGGGCAGCTGGGAAAGCAGAGGAGGCTGCTGGCAGCAAGCCAGGTTGGGAGGGAGGCAGATGCAGCAGGAGGCGTGGGGACAACGGTGCCCTACACAGTCCATGGCCAGCTCTGCCTTAAGTCTGTCTGTCCTTCCTTCCTTTTTTTGTGAGACAGGGTCCTGCTCTGTCACCCAGGCTGGAGTGCAATGGTGCCATCACAGCTCACTGCAGTCTCGGGGCTCAAGTGATCCTCCCTCAGCCTCTCGAGGAGGTGGGACTACAGGTGGGCACTACCATGCCAGATTGTTTTTAAAATTTTTGTAGAGATGCAGTCTCACTGTTTTGCCCAGGCTGGTCTTGATCTCCTGGACTCAACACTCCTCCCACCTCAGCCTCCTGAAGTGCTGGGATTACAGCCGTGAGCCATCGCACCCAGCCATGGCCCCAGCTCATTCCTTTGGACTCCCTGAGACAACACAGCCTCCTGAACAACTCCCCCCAAACACCAAATTGTTAACCTGCCAATAGTGTTCTCACTCGGACAAATCCATACCAAGAGCTGGAAGCAGTGGGCTGGGCAGTGGCGCTGGCTGGGCAGTGGCGCTGGCTGGGCTGAGCAGCCTGTCCCATGAGCAATGGCCACTGTTGTCGGGCAGTGAAGCCACTAGTTGGACTTGGTTCTACTGGCTCACAGGAACATACCGTGTGGCCATTTAGACAAAAGCCTTAAGGATGGGGGCAAAACCCTGGAACGTGAGAAAGCTGGCGACTGACCTTGGCCTGCATAGGAGGCAGGAGGCTCAGCCAGGAGTGGCAGTGGGAGGATGGGGGCCTCCGAGGCCAGCACAGCAACTGAGCGGGGCTTCTCTGCCTGCAGGCAGTCAGCTGTGGAGCGGAGGACAGGAGGCTGAGTCCCAGCTACACCTCTCAATAACGTGGAGGGTGCAGATTTGACAGAAACTCCTGTGGGGGTGGGGCAGGGATGTTCCTGGGCACATGAGAGCAGGCTGCTGTCAACGGTCCCCACCTCTCTCTGCCCTGGCAGGCCCACAACACTGAGCAGCTGGGGGCAGGAGAGGCTGAGTGTGGTGCACAAAACAGAAGCCCCTTGCCAGAGGCCCAGCCCTGGTCTTGTGGTTGGAAGTTCAAGAACTGACTCAAAGGTATTGCTTACCAGGAAAAAGAACCACAACTGTAACGAGAAGGGGCCACATAATGGCAGAGCGCCACTGGATCCAGCCTGCAGGCCCCAAGGATCCTTCTCCACAGCAGGGCCTGTGCTGCCCCCGCCCCTCCAGTCACTGTGATACACACTCAGGGTGGTCCCACAGGCCCAAAACATAAAGCAGTGTTCTCATGGGGGTGATTCTGTCCCGGGCGCACATTTGACAATGTTTGACTGACACCAAGTGGGCAGAGGCAAAGATGATACGGAACATCCTATGAGGCACAGGACGGCCCCTCAACAAAGACTTGTCCATCCCAAACAGCCACAAGGCCGAGAAGCACCGAGACCTTCCCAGAGGCAGCGCCTGGGGTTGCCACTTTCTAACCAAAAGCACCAGTCCACTGGCAAAGACAGTCACCAAACAGATGCCCAGGAGATCTGATGGGCCTGTGTTTACCTCCCTCTCTGACCCAACATGCTCTGCACCAGTGACCGAGACGTGGTGTTTTTACTGTAGTCCTGTTCAATCTCTGCCCTGGGCCTCTGGGCCCGACTGTGGATGTAGCCCCTCACCTGCAGGGGCCTCCATCAGGGTACTGCTCCCCTCGGCACCTGTGGGCTCCACCTTGCAGATCACCAGCAGCCAGAACAATTTCTGCCTAGGTAAAAGAAAAATAAATCACAGCCAGGGCTAGGTACAGGGGAGAGGGGCAGTGAGGTCAGAATAGGCCCTGTGGTAGCTGCATCACCCAGCTGGGGCCACCCCTGTCACTAGCAATCAAAGTCCTGGCTCAACAGCCCCAGAAGTGGGAGGCCCGGGTCCATGCTCAGCCAGTCCCTGCAGACCCAGGGCTGAGGCAGAGCACAGGTGGGCGTGGCCACAGCTTCCTGGCTTCATGCTGAGCAAGCCCGCACCCGCCCACAGTCTTCAAACGTCTAGAGAAATTTCCATGGGTTTTAAAATTTCTTGATAGTGGGCCGGGCGCGGTGGCTCATGCCTGTAATCCCAGCACTTTGGGAGGCCGAGGCGGGTGGATCACGAGGTCAAGAGATCGGGACCATCCTGGTCAACATGGTGAAACCCCGTCTCTACTAAAAATACAAAAAATTAGCTGGGCATGGTGGCGCGTGCCTGTAATCCCAGCTACTCAGGAGGCTGAGGCAGGAGAATTGCCTGAGCCCAGGAGGCGGAGATTGTGGTGAGCCGAGATCGCGCCATTGCACTCCAGCCTGGGTAACAAGAGCGAAACTCTGTCTCAAAAAAAAAAAAAAGAAGAATTATATCAATGGTAAAGTTTTGGACTGAGGAATGATTTTTCTAAGCCTGCCATTAGATGTCTGACAAATTTAACTACATAAAAAAATTTAATGTAAAGCAAAAACCAGAAAGGGGGAATACGTGCAATGCAAAGATTCATCCTTACCTGATAAAGACCTCTACATATTATCGAGAAAGGAAGGAAAATTACCAACAATTATGAACAGGTAACTCACGAAGAACAAGTAGGCAATATATTTTTTAAGTTCCACGGCAGGTGCAATTAAGAAATGTGATTTGGGCCTGGCGCAGTGCTTCACTCCCATAATCCCAGCACTTTGGGAGGCCGAGGCGGGCAGATCACGAGGTCAGGAGTTTGAGACCAGCCTGGCCAATATGGTGAAACCCTGTCTCTACTAAAAATACAAAAATTAGCTGGGCGTGGTGGTGGGTGCCTGTAGACTCAGCTACTCGGAAGGCTGAGGCAGGAGAATCGCTTCAACTGGGAAATGGAGGTTGCAGTGAGCCGAAATCGGGCCATTGCACTCCAGCCTGGGTGACAAAAGCGAGACTCTGTCTCAAAAAAAAAAAAAAAAAAATGTGATTTGGCCGGCTGCGGTGGCTCACATTTGTAATCCCAGCACTTTGGGAGGCTGAGGCGGGCGGATCGCCAGGTCTGCAGCTAGAGACCAGGCTGATCAACATGGTGAAACCCCGCCCCTACTGAAAATACAAAAATTAGCCGGCCATGGTGGCGCACCTGTAATCCCAGCTACTTGGGAGGCTGAAGCAGAAGAATTACTTCAACCTGGGAGGGGGAGGTGGAAGTTGCAGTGAGCTGAGATTGCGCCATGGCACTCCAGCCTGGGCAACAGAGCGAGACTCTCAAAAAGAAAAAAAGAAAGAAATGTGATTTGGCTGGGTGCTGTGGCTCACACCTGTAATTCCAGCACGTTAGAGGCTGAGGATGAAGGACTGACTGAGTGCAGGAGTTCCAGACCAGCCTGGACAACATAGTGAGACCCCGTCCCCCCACCCCACCCCCCCACAAAATCAAAAAATTAGCCAGGTGTGATGGTAGGCATCTGTAGTCCCAGCTACTAGGGAGCTGAGGTGGGAGAATTACCTGAGCCCAGGTCTAGGCTGGGGTGAACTGAGATTGAGCCACTGCACTATAGGAGGGCGTTGGAGACCCCGTGTTAAAAAAAAAAATAAGTAAATAAAAAAGCAATTAGTAAATTTAAGCCACCTGTTATCCTACCTGCCAGGGAGGCTGAGCGGGAGGATCTCGTGAGTCCAGGTGTAGGCGGCCAGCCTGGGTGACATAGGGAGACAGCTCCTCTTTTACAAAAAGGTAATTTAAAGAGCAATTTTTAAGTCTGAAGGCAGATTTTTGAAAGTAGGAACACCTTACCCGCAAGAATTAGGGAACAGGCCCTCCAGTTCACAGCTGGGAAGAGGCTGGATCCGCTGGGCTGGTGGGAAATTTGACAACTTACAAAGGCCTGAAGACGCGCGGGGGGACTCGGCTCGCAGGAAGCCGGGCACGCATCGGCGCCCCGGGAACGCACCTGCAGGGCCGCTTCCTCCACGCCGCGCCCGAGAGCGGCTGGGGTCTGCGCTGCAAGGGGAGGGCGCGCCGCGCCGGCCAGGGCAGCGGTGCCGGCCCCGTTCTCCTCGCAGCGCCCTCCGCACGAACAACAGAAGTCGAGGCCGCCGGGTCCAGGGCGGCTGGGCTGCAGCCGCGACGATCCCCGCCCCGCCCCGCGCCGGAAGCGCCGCCGTCCCCACCCCTGGCCCGCCCCCTCAGCACTTCCGGCGACGCTCTGGGCCGCGGGAGGACCGCGCGCTCGGCGGCCTGGGGGAGAGCGGGACTGCCCCGCCCCTGCGCCTTCAGCTCTGCGGTCGCCCGCAGGCGCCGGCCGAATCTGTCCTGCCGCTCAGGAAGCTCCGCCTCGTGGGGGGCGAGGTCGAGCCGCCTGTGCACCGGGGTCCGGCTGGAGCCAACTGCGGACCCGGCCCGGGCGTCTGCAGGACGCGGCAGGCGGCGTCGAAGGCCCGCAGTGGGGATGCCACGCGCGTTCCCGGCCGTTTCCCCAGGCGCCCCGCACTTGTCCGGGGCCCTCCGCTGGGCGCACCGGCCCCTCCAGGCCGCCGGGGCCGTGGCAGCACGGGGGTCCCGAGCGTGGGCTTCCCTGGGGCCGAGCGCCTGGAGCACTTTCTGCAGGACGCCGCTCGCGTCTCCTCGGCGGAGAAGCCCTTGCTACCCTGTCTCACCAGGCCCGAGCTCTCGTTCGTTCAGCAAGACGCACCTCCTGTCCAAGCCTCTCGCGCTGCCGCCTGCTGCAGACCGAAGGCCACGCACCTCCAGCTGGGATGCTGCAGAAATGACGCTTTTCATCATGAGTGCAGTGTACAGCTACGGAAGGTACGCGTTCCCTCCTGCCAGGAGTAGACAGAGCCTCTCTGGGGAGAAAGAAAGGCTGAAGAACCGATCCCCATGAAAGAACCCTAAGGAGACAGCAGCAGAGGGCCAGACGCGCCCCTGGGACTGGACCCTGGACTCGGGAGGACCACAGGGTTGGAAGCCCAGGTCCCCGCCAGCGCCTTCGACAGTCCCCTGCTGCCCGCCGGCGCCACTGGGCTTCTGCCTCTGGGCCTTCACGTCCAGTGCCTGGGTTCATGGCGCACTGCACCAGTAAACACATGAACACCACGCCACATGCTAAACGATTATTTGTAACAAATTAGAAGCAATTGTAAAACATAAAAATTAAAACACATGACTCATGAATGTAATCCCAGCACTTCAGGAGGCCTGGGCAGGAGGATCGTTTGAGTCCAGAAGTTTCAAACCAGCCTGAGCAACATAGTGAGATCCCCATGTCAAGTAAAAAATATTTTGTAAAAGTTGGCGGGGCCTGATGGCAGGCACCGGTGGCTCCACCGACTCGGGAGGCTGAGGCGAGGGGAGGGGGGATCACTCGAGCCCGGGAGGCGGAGGCTGCAGTGAACCGAGATCACGCCACTCCCTGCACTCCAGCCTGGGTGACAGAGATCCTGGAGCAAAGAACGACAACAAACACATCTAAAAGAGGCGAGGTAGAAGTAGGAATCACCCTTTCCCTCCGCATCCCAGTGGGACGTCGCGGGTCTTCTGAAGACCCTCTCTTGCCCTGCAGGCTCCAGTACTCCAAGGCGCTTCGCTCTCCAGAGCTCCCCACTGCCTCCTGGACACAGTCCCGGCTCCTTGCGCGGGGCAGACTCTTCGCGACCCAGCCCTTCTGCCCCTCCAGGCCCTTTGGCGCTGTGCCAGAGGCCACTGCCCTCTCCTCGCCCCTTTCCAAATGCGGCCTGCCCTGGGCCCCTGTCATTCTGTTCCCTGTGCTGCTTTTGCCCTTCCCCTCACTCCCCACCCACCAGAACCGGGAAAGCGGTGCCGCCTTTCCAGGCCCAACTCCGGGCTCGCGCCCTGAACCTCTAGGAGTCGGCAGACCCCGCCCGGGGCTCTCCAGTCCGCTCAGACCCCAGGGCCGGTAGCCCCGCCCACCAGACAGCTCCGCCCCAGGCCCCGCCCTTGCTTCGGCCACACCTCCGCCCGCCAGACCGCTCCTCCCCTCCAGCCCCGCCCTCGCCTGGCCCGCCCCCCTGGCCCGCCCCTCGCTGGCAGCCGCTGGCAGTCCGGGTCGTGGGACCCAGCCCCGGCCTCACGCAGGTGCCTCAAAGAAGATCCTGAATTGCGTCACAGCCCAAGGTAGCCGTCCCGTGGCCAGGCCTTGGAGCTTCCCACGGACACCCGGGGCCTCCTCCGGAGTCACCCCCCCCACCGCTACCCTCCTGCTCTTCCACAGGGGGAGGCCCCACAAGAGGACCCCGAGAAACAATGGAAAACACAAGGCCAGACTCGGGCAGGGACATGGGGGTGGGGAGTGGACTCAAGGAACTCCGGAGCCTGCGAATAGTTGGGATCCCGGGAACAGCCCGCGCCCTGGAAAGCCAACGTGGAATTCTGTTTGGGAACGAGTCCTCACAGTGTGAGGCGAGACACACTCGGCAGCTGCAGGTGGTGAACGTCCATGATCAAGGGCAAGTTCGCAGTCTAGAAAATTCTGGATTTATTGATCCAAAAGTAGCCAAATCTAGCCCAGCAAGGTGGCTCACGCCTGTAATCCCAGCACTCTGGGAGGATCACTTGAGGTCAGGAGTTCGAGACCAGATTGGCCAACATAGTAAAACCCCATCTCCACCAAAAAAATTAGCCACGTGTGGTGGCGCCTGCTGTGGGTAACCCCCCATGTGGGCACCGAGGAAGGAGAGCTAAGCAGATCCCCAGCACAATTAGTGCCTGAAGAATGCCTTAGTTTATAGTGTTATTACTCAGTTATTTCCTTTATATAATCCTTTATGTATAATATCATGTATTAGTTTACAGTCTGAACAATTACCTGAAGAATATGCTACTACTCAGTTATTTCCCTATATATATGTGTATATATAATTCTATCTATACATATATGTATATCATTCTTATCTTAGTTCATAGTTGGAGGAATGCCTAGAGCAGACACGGTACAGGGCATGAATTAAGTGATAAACAGCTCTACATATATAAGCATATCTTGCTTATAGTCGGAGGAATGTCTAGAGCAGACACAGTGCAGTGTAGGGCTGTTGGCCTCACAGGGTCGTGGGGTGTCCCTTATGCTGTGCTGAGATGCAGGATCCAAGAATTAAAGAGACAGGACGCTGAAGAACTGGAGAAGAGCAGCTGGACTCAGGGGGCCGCACCACCTGTGAGTGGAGACTGGCAAGGCCCCAAACATCCAGAAGCGTCTGTAATTATTAGGTAGAAGGCAGGGTGGGGCAGGGTCATGAGTGAGGTCATCTATAGGCTTAATGATAGGGCATACATAATCAGGTGAATAGCAGGTGAGGGGGCCACCCCATTAGGTCACCTGGGCAGAGAGGTGGGCTGTGCACAGTAGGGAGCTGTGCTGGGCGCAGTAGTAGAGGGTCATGTACAAAGGAGAGGTCCACCCCCATTATGTCACTGAGGCAAACAGGTGTCGTGAGCAACACTTCTTATTTGGGGACTGGAGACGTCAAAGGATTTCTAACAGAAGGATAGTGTAAGCCCATGCACTGGGAGCTGACAGACATGTGCTCTTCTCTGAAGATATTTATGGGAGGATGATTTGAGCTAGCACAGAAGTGAGAAAAGACTAACAGGGTGTATATGTGCCACATTTTTCCAATCCAGTCTATTATCAATGGGCATTTTGGTTGATTCCAGGTCTTTGCTATTGTAAACAGTGCTGCAATGAACATTCGTGTACATGTGTCCTTATAGTAGAACGATTTATAGTCTTTTGGATATATACCCAGTAATGGGATTGCTGGGTCAAATGGAATTTCTATTTCTAAGGCCTTGAGGAATCCCCACACTGTCTTCCACAATGGTTGAACTAATTTACACTCCCACCAACAGTGTAAAAGTGTTCCTTTTTCTCCACATCCTCTCCAGCATCTGTTGTCTCCAGATTTTTTAATGATCGCCATTCTAACTGGCGTGAGATGGTATCTCAATGTGGTTTTGATTTGCATCTCTCTGATGACCAGTGACGATGAGCATTTTTTCATATGATTGTTGGCCTCATATATGTCTTCTTTCGTAAAGTGTCTGTTCATATCCTTTGCCCACTTTTGAATGGGCTTGTTTGTTTTTTTCCTGTAAATCCGTTTGAGTTCTTTGTAAATTCTGGATATCAGCCCTTTGTCAGATGGGTAAACTGCAAAAATTTTTTCCCATTCTGTTGGTTGCCGATCCACTCTAGTGACTGTTTCTTTTGCCGTGCAGAAGCTGTGGAGTTTCATTAGGTCCCATTTGTCTATTTTGGCTTTTGTTGCCAATGCTTTTGGTGTTCTGTTCATGAAGTCCTTGCCTACTCCTATGCAGCAATCAGAAATGATGAGTTTGTGTCGTTTGTAGGGACATGGATGAATCTGGAGAACGTCATCCTCAGCAAACTGACACAAGAACAGAAAATGAAACACTGCATATTCTCACTCATAGGCGGGTGATGAAAAATGAGAACACATGGACACAGAAAGGGGAGTACTAAACACTGGGGTCTATTGGGGGGAAAAGGGGAGGGCCAGTGGGAGGGGGAGGTGGGCAGGGATAGCCTGGGGAGAAATGCCAAATGTGGGTGAAGGGGAGAAGGAAAGAAAAGCACACTGCCATGTGTGTTCCTACGCAACTGTCTTGCATGCTCTGTTTATGTACCCCAAAACCTAAAATCCAATAAAAAATTAAAAAAAAAAAAAAAGACTAACAGGGTGTACAGCCGCTGTGACTGGTCACACCAGAGGGGTTCTTCTCCCTCGGTTATTTGCGGGATCTCAG